AATGGTTAGAGATGCGCCGATTCCGATTTTTCCGAGTTTGACCTGCCGATACCGATTTTAGCCGATTCCGATTTCATTTTTTCTAATCACTTTACAGCACACACAAATATTTATTTTCTATATTTTTTTTTTTATAAAACACCATATACTTCTACCCAAACTGAATAATAAAAACAAGTTTAAATGGGTGAATTTTCTATAAATATTTGAGTCTTCATTTTCTTTTCTGACATAGCCTACTCCAGTTCTTGTTAAAACACACTAGACATGCAAATTCTGTGCATTTTGGGCACTTTTTGTGTGAAATCATATTTATTTTGCCCATCAAAAAAAGTGTGCTTTCACTTTAATTGAGTGTGAGCAGCGCAGCAAAAATAGACTCTGAACCGCTTCACTGCTTCTCACACGCCGCTCCTGCTTGACGCTCACGCTCTGCTCCCGCTCCCGGTGTGATGCACTCACTGGTTAACATGCACGCCGAAAAAAATACGTGCCTCTCACGCTTGCGGTGTGAAACGGCCGTAATTCACGAGGTTTTCTACATGTGCGTTCCATGTGGACGTGTGATGCTGATGTTCAGCGATGTTAATCATTTGGCGCCCGAGTGCGTTTGACCAGTATAAAATCGGCATATGTCAGACTGACCGGCGATCACGTGAAAATCGGCCAATTCCGGTCCCAAGCCGATCAATCGGTGCATCTCTAATAATGGCCTTATTAGATCTGTTGTTGAGCCTTTTTTTTACCATTTGCAAAATAAAAATTGCCCTTTCAGTTTAATTTTGTTAGTTTTTATTGGCTGTCTAGTTGCATTTCTTCATCTAATTGCCCTTTAACTAGTCTTCTATGAAGTGTAAAACTTGCTGATCTTTGATCACTGAATTTTCTCCAACAAGGTTCATTTTGCACCATGTGTATATGTTGGTTGATATAGCAACAGCACATTGTAGCACTATTTCCTTAGGTGTGCGTATTACTTTTACAGGTTTAGTGGCAGCAAAAAGATGCACAATCATTTGTGAATTCACGCTTTAATGTAGAATAGTTGATTTGGTTTAGTATGGTTAACTCTAATACAGGTACTCCTGCTATGTGTGGAGTTAATAGTGATGTCCATTTAAACCCAGTTTGTCCTCATAATCAAGGGTTAGTCAGGTGTTTGTGTGTGTTTGAGAGTGTGTGTGAGAGGTCCAGTTAAACTCAAAATGTCCTCATAATCAAGGGTTAGTCCGGTGTTTGTGTGTGTTTGAGAATGAGGTCCAGTTAAACCCAAAATGTCCTCATAATCAAGGGTTAGTCAGGTGTTTGTGTGTGTTTGAGAGTGTGTGTGAGAGGTCCAGTTAAACCCAAAATGTCCTCATAATCAAGGGTTAGTCAGGTGTTTTTGTGTGTTTGTGTGTGTTTGAGAATGAGGTCCAGTTAAACCCAAAATGTCCTCATAATCAAGGGTTAGTTAGGTGTGTGTGTGTGTGTGTGAGAGGTCCAGTTAAACCCAAAATGTCCTCATAATCAAGGGTTAGTCAGGTGTGTGTGTGTTTGAGAGTGTGTGAGTGAGGTCCAGTTAAACCCAAAATGTCCTCATAATCAAGGGTTAGTTAGGTGTGTGTGTGTGTGTGTGTGTGTGTGTGAGGTCCAGTTAAACCCAAAATGTCCTCATAATCAAGGGTTAGTCAGGTGTTTGTGTGTGTGTGTGTGAGTGAGGTCCAGTTAAACCCAAAATGTCCTCATAATCAAGGGTTAGTCAGGTGTTTGTGTGTGTTTGAGAGTGTGTGTGAGTGAGGTCCAGTTAAACCCAAAATGTCCTCATAATCAAGGGTTAGTCAGGTGTTTGTGTGTGTGTGTGTGTGTGAGGTCCAGTTAAACCCAAAATGTCCTCATAATCAAGGGTTAGTCAGGTGTTTGTGTGTGTCTGAGAGTGTGTGTGAGTGAGGTCCAGTTAAACCCAAAATGTCCTCATAATCAAGGGTTAGTCAGGTGTTTGTGTGTGTTTGAGTGTGTGTGAGTGAGGTCCAGTTAACCCCAAAATGTCCTCATAATCAAGGGTTAGTTAGGTGTGTGTGTGTGTGAGGTCCAGTTAAACCCAAAATGTCCTCATAATCAAGGGTTAGTCAGGTGTTTGTGTGTGTTTGAGAGTGTGTGTGAGTGAGGTCCAGTTAAACCCAAAATGTCCTCATAATCAAGGGTTAGTCAGGTGTTTGTGTGTGTGTGTGTGTGTGTGAGAGAGGTCCAGTTAAACCCAAAATGTCCTCATAATCAAGGGTTAGTCAGGTGTTTGTGTGTGTGTGTGAGAGGTCCAGTTAAACCCAAAATGTCCTCATAATCAAGGGTTAGTCAGGTGTTTGTGTGTGTTTGAGAGTGTGTGTGTGAGTGAGGTCCAGTTAAACCCAAAATGTCCTCATAATCAAGGGTTAGTCAGGTGTTTGTGTGTGTGTGTGTGTGTGAGAGGTCCAGTTAAACCCAAAATGTCCTCATAATCAAGGGTTAGTTAGGGTTGTGTGTGTGTGTGTGAGTGAGGTCCAGTTAAACCCAAAATGTCCCCATAATCAAGGGTTAGTTAGGGTTGTGTGTGTGTATGCATGATTCATATGGTTACTGATGTCCAGTTAAACCCAAATGGTCAGCAATGTTCATTTAGATACTAATACCAAGTCTTGAACAATCTTCTCTTTTCACATTAACAAAACCCAAACCCAATCAACTGGAAATATTTAGCTTTATTCAAAACTATCTTTAGACAAAACTTCTTAAAATCTAATGAATAAATTAAGACTGACATTCAAGGTTCAATTATGAAAAATACTTGTGGGTGAATGCATTTGTCAGTGATGGTTAAATAGTAAACTCTCCTTTTGGTTTTTTAATTTCTTAATTTTTAAAGCTAAAATATTTCCGTATTTCACTTTCACTCTTCTCTTTTTGCTCTTCACTCACTTCACACCTGCTAAATCTCACATTACAAACTCAGGTTAGTTTTCTGAAATCTCTCTTAAAGTTTAAGCCAGGTTGAACAATTGCTGATCATTTCTTGTTTTGTTTTTCTATATGCTCGTATTGAAACAAACTTAAGTGATGTGGCACTCTCATGGGTAAAGTTAGTCCAGGTGATACCAGGTTAGTCCTCATAAGTAAGGGTCAGGTGTGTGTGTGTATGTATGTAAGTGATGTCCAGATAAACCAGGGTAGTCCTCATAAATCATAATTCAATCAGGAAACGCCCACTCCTGCCCTGTCCTTACAGTGCTTTAGTTTGTCAGGTCTTCATATTACCAGACTGTTTCATTAGAATTAAATTCTGAGCAGTCAGATTTTTACCCCATGCCATAAGGAGCAGTTTAATATTTATTATTAATCTCTATGACAAAGGGAAAGGTGGGTCCCCATAAACCAGGATGGAACTTTTTAGGGGGAAAAGTCTTTATAAACCACCCGTACCAGTATGTGTGTGTGTGTGTGTGTGTGTGTGTGTGTGTGTGTGTGTGTGTGTGTGTGTGTGTGTGTGTCTCCACCACATTCACCTTTGCCAGGTGAATGTTTACATAGGAAACTCCCTCTTGGCAGCGATGATGCAAAGGTAGGGGGTTGAGCTCTCTGTCGTCTAGACCTTACACGACCGCAAGGTAGTCAGATGTCAGATGACGCATTCCCAGCCAGAACTGGTTTGAGCCAGTATACGGCGACTGATCAGAGCATTAAGATTAACAGGCATCCACTGATCTTCCCCTCTTGCAGCCCTAATCCTAAACCATGCCAAAAGTCTGACAAAGCATGTGCTAAACTACTTATCGCTACACTATAAAAAATTAAATGATCAATAAGTTATGACAACATATGTTTTCCCATTGCTTTAACTCACCAAAATAAGTTAAGCAATTTTCAACTTTTCTTATAAGTTATACGATATTCATTTCATTTTTTAAAAGTCAGTTTAATGTAATTTAAGTTTAATAGACTTAAACATCCAAGTTGATTGTACTTAAAAATTTAAGGCAGCTACTTTTTCACAGTGTATCAAAAAGAATGACAGAGAAAGATCTAAAGAGATGAGCCCCTGTTAAAGCTTCTTATCTACACACCACGGTAATGCAATACACCTTTAACAAACGGCTGAATCAACCAGAAACTGGTTCACGCTGGTCTGGTAAGCTGCAAAGCAAAGAGACGAGCCTGCATGAAAATGAACCAGACCAAGTGATGAGTGACAGGTGTGACAGTCCGTCCTTATTTCAGCCTTATTTCACAAAAAGTGAAAGTAAAAAGAAGTGTAATACTCCTGGCTGAGATCTAATAAAAGTTATATTGTTGATATTATCTTTTGTACTATACTACTGAAATTGTGGGTTCGTGGGTTACGCTTTGCAGCCATGTCAGTTTTCAGATTTCACACATCAATGTGTCAAACTTTATTTTGTAGAGTAGATATGGGACCTTAACTACAAACAAGACCATATCTATTAAAGGTAAAGTTGGGAACAACTCCAGGAGGACCCCTAATTTTCAAATAGAAAGTGCCTAAAACAATGTAGTACAATTAAGCAGCACAGAGACCTGACTGTAAATCATCTAACTCCATCCCAGGCATTTTTTAATAAAATGACCATGTCAGTCGTTTTAAAACCAAATGTAAAGTCAAGAAAGAGAAGAGTCACTGTTTAGTTAATAATTTATTATACAAAAAATTAAAAATAATATTGTGAAAAATGCATTAACAGGTGTTATTATAACATTGCAACAAATAAATAAGTGGCCATTGAGTGTTAAAACACGTATCACAATATCAAAGTGGCATAGAGATAAGGCAAAATATTTATAGGCAGTTTTCAGGCAATATAACTTCTGTCTCTAATCACAGTTCTTGTGCTCCAACAAATACACCTATAAGGTGCAGTAGTAGTGAAAAAGTCAATTTTTAAAATGCATAGTTCACGAGAAACATTTTCGCGCGTCTTCATAGCATGATGCACGAGGGGACTCCTTCACACTGGGACTCCTTCACACCACAGCTCCAGATACTGTGCGTCCCGTCCTTCATGTCTGTTCTCAATGGGCTCGTGTCATTGACGAGGCTTTCCTTCATGTCCGTGTGGTCCTTTCTCGTCCACTCTGGACGTGTCCGTCATCGCCAGGTTGTAAACGACACCGGCGGTCTGAAATGAACGACCCTGCAGCCGCGAGTCATCGCGTGAAGACGTTCAACGCAGCTTCAGAAAGTGTCGCAGCATCCCCGCGATCCGGAGGAACTTGTCCTTCTTCCTCTGCTTGAGGGCCATCAGAGCTCTGGCCGTCTCTTCGGGGTCTTGCGCGAAGGAGAAGATGCTTCTCACTCTCTCCTCGGCTTTCATGTCTCCCGTTTTCTGGAAGAGTCTCATGAGCGCGTCCTGGTTGACGTTCTCGAAGATGTTCGCCACTGCCCGCTTGCGGCTCGCTGTGTCAAACTTGTTGCCGTGGATCGAAGGGCAGACCCGGCGAGATTCTGAGTACATGTCGGTCGACATCTTGCGGCTTTTGTGTTGTTTAGCAGCGCTGGAGTCGCCAACTCGACCGAGCTGAGCAGCTTTGATGGCTGTGACTGTGACTGAGAAGAGTGAGGAGTTTATAGTGACGGCTTGCTCTTTATAGAGAGACCGCTCATGTCCCGCTTACGGAGATGACCTCATCCGCGCTGCCTCCCTGGAGAAACGCCTTCAACTGCTATTTCGCCAACATGCCACTAGCTTTGGAAATGCTAGTAATTATGGATGAGAATGCTGCTGACGACATAAGTGCGCAAGATTTATCTCATAGAGTTGTGTAATTGCAACCTAAAGAGTTTTTTCTACCTGACCTGACCCTTAAGGTATATTCCCACGGTGGTCTCACAGACAATTAAGGCTTAAACTTGGTCCCAGACTAAAATGCATGTTTGAGCACTTGCACTGACTGACAAATCTCAAAATGTATCAGTGCCGTTTTGTCTCAAGATGCACACCAGTAATGTTTTTTTTTTTCTAGGGCACGTTTATAAAAGCTACTCAAATGTCCTAATTGAACTAAAGCTTAATCTGGCTTAATCTAAGCCCTGTCTGTGAAACCAGGCCCCTATAAAATAATATAGACTATAAAATCAGTGAATTTAGATTTTACCACAGGAAGCACATTTTGTAGGGTTTAAACTGGGATTTTGGATGGGAACCCTAAAATCTGGTGTGGTGGTGATTATTGTGCCCGATGCAGGATGACTTAACCTCAACCCCTGAAACAAACTAACAAAAACAAAACAAACATAAAAAAACACTAGGCCTACCACCAAAGAATGAAATGAAGAAAAAAATCAGACCCCAAACTTTTGAACTAGAGCAATTACCCAAGTATAATTATCCTTTACTAAAAATGTACATTTACATTTAATCATTTAGCAGACGCTTTTATCCAAAGTGACTTACAAATGAGAACAATAGAAGCAATCAAACCAACAAAAGGGCAAAAATATGCCAGTGTGACTAGTCCCAGTTACAGTACACATAGCAAGTTTTTTTATATGAATAGAATGGAATAGTATAGTGTTCATATTAAATAAATATACTAGGCCTATATTTACTAGAGAACAAAACATGGGTTCACATTTGGTTGCATTGTATTTTGTGTTTACTTGAATGCAAATGGAGATGGATATTGTAAATTTGAAAATACTGTTTACAGTGTCAGTGTGTTGTTAAATGGACAGTTGATACATAGTGTTCTTGTTACAAACACTTTAAATTACTGTGCTGTATTGTCGTGACAAAAACTCACTTGACTCTTGTCTTAGAATTCTGAATAATTATAGTGTCATCACAATGGTGTTCTAATTAGGTGTCATTAAATATATTAACCTGTATAACAAATTATTTTATAACTATGCCATGGATTAGGTAATATTCACATGATTGTTTAAAAGACTGATGTCATTATTATTACATTAATATTATGACATTGTCCATAGCATAGCCATCTATCCAGTAAAACTCATCTTTGTGTCTTTTTTACTACTAGTGCAATGCCCGTGCAAAATCTGTTATTAGTAATTGTTGGTTTGTATGTTGCTGAATAGCCTAGGCTACTATTACACAGGAGCCTAAACTCTGAGAAAACTATAACGTTAAGCGCACTAGAATAAAATATAATATTCAGAAGTAAACAGTGTAGCCGACTTACAGATTCAGTTAACATCCACAAATGAATAAGCGCGATGATTCAGGGAGCACACAGTGAACTCTGAGAAAACCCTATGTTTGAGCAAACAATTTGTGAATAGGCTACTACAAAATATAGCCGTGAATAAAATATAATATTCCGATATTTTTAAACCACAACCCTTTAATGTCAGAATGTTTATTTTGGGGAGTGGCCACTCAGTGTGCAGTGTGAGAGGGGGAGTGGCCACTCAGTGTGCAGTGTGGAGGGGGAGTGGCCACTCAGTGTGCAGTGTGCAGGCCACCTCTCACACACAATGACAACAAAGGGTCAACTTTGTTGTCATTGTGCAGATTACAATTATAGAGACAATGAAAGGCAGTTAGCGTCTTTTATGTTTAGTTGGTGAATAGCATATAGGCTACTATTACACAGTAGCGATAATGTTAAGTGCACCAGAATGAAATATAATATTCAGATATTTTTAAATCACAACCCTCTAATGTCAGAATGTTTATTTTTAAACCACAACCTTCTAAACATCATCTAAATATCTTCAATGTGTGCTTCTTTTGTGAATATGCGAATAACAGACACACAGATAGACGTTTCTGTAATTTATAGATAGATGTATGCGTGTCTGTGTATAGGCTATATTATATTTATATATACTGTATATTATGCGTGTGTGTGTACTGTATACTTTTTTATCACGATTAATCGATTTGACAGTATGTATGTGCAAAATCAGTTTTTGTGTGTGTTTTTAGTAATTGTTGGTTTGGTGTGTTTGAGTGCTCCTTGTTACAATTACACAGCAAAAGTTCAGTGACATTTTTATTTGTGCATAGCTGAAAGCAAATACTGATACTGACATAATGACATACAATATATATGGAAAATTAAACCTATATAACTAACTAACTACTGACAACTAACTATTTCTGAATAACTACAATATTCAGAAATAAACAGTGTAGCTGACTTAATCTTTAGCTGACAGAATGTTTATTTTTAAACCACAATTTTTAAACCTCTCTAATGTCAGAATGTTTATTTTTAAACCACAACTTCAATGTGTGCTCCTTTTACTGATATATTTAACGATATCTTTTGCATTTCTAATCCAAACAACGTCAAACTCGGGCAAGACACCTGTCAAGTTTGAAATCCATCGGACTAACGGTTCGAGAGATATTTGATTAACAGACAGACAGACAGACACACAGACAGACAGACGTTCCTGTAATTTATAGATAATATACTGGTGCAATGCCCGTGCAAAATCAGTTTTTGTGTGTTTTTAGTAATTGTTGGTTTGGTATGTTTGAGTTGCTTAATAGCCTAGGCTACTATTACACAGGAGCCTAAACTCTGAGAAAACGATAACGTTAAGCGCACCAGAATAAAATATAATATTCAGAATTAAACAGTGTAGCTGACTTAAAGATTTAGTTAAATAGCTACTTCTTCAAAAATGAATTGAGACATTTAAAAAAATGAATCGCTACTTTTTCGAAAGTAGTAAATCGCTACTTTTTCAAAAAAGAATCAATACTTATTAAAAAGAATCCCTACTTTTTCAAAAAAGGATAGATACATTTTCAAAAAGAATCGCTACTTTTTCAAAAGTGAATCGATACTTTTTCAAAAATGAATCGCTACTTTTTCAAGAATGAAGCGATACTTTTTCAAAAGTGAATCGATACTTTTTCAAAAATGATTCGCTACTTTTTCAAAAGTGAATCGATACCTTTTCAACAAAGAATAGCTACTTTTTCAAAAAAGAATCGCTGCTTTTTCGAAAGTGAATCGCTACTTTTTCGAAAGTGAATCGCTACTTTTTCAAAAAAAGAATCATTACTTTTTCGAAGTTAATCGCTACTTTTTCAAAAAAGAATCGCTCCTTTTTCAAAAAAGAATGGCTCCTTTTTCATAGTTCTATACATAGTTTTTCATAGTTCTATACAGTTTTTAAACTATATATAGTTACTTTGTAATAAACGTATCATTACATTGTAATAAACGTATAAATACGTTGTATTAAATGTATAATTACATTGTAATAAATGTATAATAAGTCTGTAACAAATGTATATTTACATTTTTTACACTACTTTTTTCAAAAAGAATCGCTACTTTTTCAAAAACAATCGTTACTTTTTCCAAAAAAATCGCTTCTTTTTTCAAAAAGAATAATGTAACAAAATAATAATGTAACAAATGTATTATAATAATAATGTAACAAATGTATAATAACACTGTAATAAATGTATAATTACATTGTAATAAACGTATAATAACACTGTAATGTATAATTACATTGTAAAAAACGTATAATGACATTGTAATGAACGTATAATAACACTGTAATGTATAATTACATTGTAATAAACGTATAATTACATTGTAATAAATGTATAATAACACTGTAAAAAATGTATAATGACATTGTAATAAACGTATAAATACATTGTAATGAATGTATAATAAGACTGTAACAAATGTATAATTACATTTTTTACACTACTATTTTCAAAAAGAATCGCTACTTTTTCCAGAAAGAATCGCTGCTTTTTCAAAAAAGAATCGCTACTTTTTCAAAAAGAATCGCTACTTTTTCAAAAAAGAATCGCTACTTTTTTAAAGAATCGCTACTTTTTCATAGTTCTATACATAGTTTTTCATAGTTCTATACAGTTTTTAAACTATGTATAGTTACTTTGTAATAAACGTATAATTACATTGTAATAAACGTATACATATGTTGTATTAAATGTATAATTACAGTGTAATAAATGTATAATAAGACTGTAACAAATGTATAATTACATTTTTTACACTACTTTTTCAAAAAGAATCGCTACTTTTTCCAAAAAGAATCACTACTTTTTCAAAAAGAATCGCTCCTTTTTCCAAAAAGAATCGCTACTTTTTTTAAAAAGAATCACTACTTTTTTCAAAAAGAATCCCTACTTTTTCAAAAAGAATCCCTACTTTTTCCAAAAAGAATTGCTACTTTTTCCAAAAAGAATCGCTACTTTTTCAAAAAGAATCGCTACTTTTTCCAAAAAGAATCGCTACTTTTTCAAAAAAGAATCGCTACTTTTTCAAAAAGAATCGCTACTTTTTCAAAAAAGAATCGCTACTTTTTCAAAAAGAATAATGTGACAAAATAATAATGTAACAAATGTATAATAATAATAATGTAACAAATGTATAATAACACTGTAATAAATGTATAATTACATTGTAATAAACGTATAATAACACTGTAAAGTATAATTACATTGTAATAAACGTAAATTACATTGTAATAAATGTATAATAACACTAATAAATGTATAATTACATTGTAAAAACGTATACTTATATTGTGAGAAATGTATAATTACATTTTTACACTACTTTTTTCAAAAAGAATCGCTACTTTTTCCAAAAAGAATCAC